AAAAAAAAAGATGAGTTGGCTGAGTATGTCTGGAGTTGTTTTTGCATCTTCTAATCTATTCCACTGATCCTTGGGTCTGTTTCTTTGCCATTACCATGCTGTTTTTATCACATCCAACACCATTTATTGAAGAGGCTATATTTCTTCCAGTGTATGTTTTTGGCCTCTTTGCCAAAGATCAAATACTTGAATGTGCTTCCAGTTGCTTCTGTATCCTCTATTCTGTTTCATTGATCCTCATGTCTGTTTTTGTGCCAGTATCATGCTGTTTTTATCCCAGTAGCTTTGTAATATAACTTCAAGTCCAAGATTGTGAGGCCCCCTTTTTGCTTTTGTTATCCAGAATTGCTTTTGCTATTATAGGTCTCTTTTGGTTCCATGTGAATTTTAGGATTGTTTTCTACAGTTCTATGAAGAATCCTGTTAGTATTTTGATTGTGATTGTGTTATATCTTTATATCAATTTTGGATGTACGGAATTTTGACTCTATTGGTTCTATCCAGGAACATGGGATATCTTTCCATTTTGTGATGTCTTCTTTGATTTTTTTTTAAAGTACTATAGTTTTCATTATAGAGGTCTTTCAGTTCCCTAGTTAGATTAATTCCTAAGTACAGTAAATCCTTGATTTATGAGAATAATTTGTTCCACTTATAATCCAAACCACTTATATATGAAAGAAGGCACGGGGGAGAGAAGAAGCAGTTGTGATTATGTGACATTGGGCATGATGTACTACTCATATTGCAAAACATCACTCGTTTATCAAGTTAAAATTTGTTAGAAATGTTTGCTCATCTTGTGGAACACTCACCGACCAGGTTAATTACAATCAAACATTTGACTGTATTTAATGTTTCTTGGTGATATTGTGAATGGTATTTTTTCCTAATTTCTTCCTCACTTGGTTCATTATTGTTGTACAGGAACATGGTTGATTGATTGATTGATTTTTGGTACCAGGGATCAAACTCAGGACTATGCTTGCAAGGCAGGCGCAGAGCCACTGAGCTAAATCCCCGGCCCACTATTGATTTTTTTCTGTTGATTTTATATCATGCTACATTACTGAATTTGGTTTTTAATTCCAAGAGTCTTTTAGTGGGTCTTCTACATAGAGTATCATGTCATTTGCAGACAATGAATTCAAAGTCTTCCTTTTGAGTACATATCCCTTTTACTTCTTTTTCTTGCCTAATTGCTTTTCCTAATGTTTTGAGTACTATGTTGAACAGGTTTGGTAAAAGTGGACATCCTTGTCTTGTTTCTGATTCCCTCCTACAGAGAAAGCTTTCAATTTTTCTCCATTTAATATGATATTGGCCATAGGTTTATTATGTTTTTGTTTGTTTGTTTGTGTGAGACAGGGACTCACCATGGTAATTCAGACTAGCCTTGAACTCACTATGTAGCCCAGGCTGGCCTTGAACTTGCTGTGATCCTCCAGCCTCTGCCTCCCAAGTACTGGGATTACAGGCATGCACCACCACACCCAGCTTGTCATAAATGGTTTTTATAGGATTGACAAAAAGTCCTTCTATGCCTATTTTATTCAGTTTTTTAATCACGAAAGGATGTTGAATTTTATCAAAGGCTTTTTCTGCATCTATTGAGATGATCATGTGATTTTTGTCTTTGCTTCTGTTTATGTGATGTATTACATTTATTGATTTGTGTATAGAGCCTTCCTTGCTTTCCTCAGATGAAGCCTTCTTAGTCATGATGTATGATCTTTTTGATGATTTGTTGCATCCTGTTTGCCTGTATTTTATTAAGGGTTTTTGCATTTAAATTCATTAAAGAGATTGGTCTATAGTTCTCTTTTCTGTTGAATTCTTGTCTGGTTTTAGAATCAGGGTAATGGTAGCTTTCAGGAATGCCATTGGAAGTACTCCTTCCCTTCCAGTTTCATTAAAGAACTTGAAGAGTGTTGGTGTTACATAGTTCCTAAAGTTTTTGTAGAATTCAGCCGTGAATCACTCAAGACCTGGGCTTTTCTTGGTTTGTAGGTTTTGTGTTAGGGCCTCTATTTTATTGCCTGTTATTGGATTATTCAGGGGTTTTAAATCTTCTTGGTTCAGTTTTTGTAATTCATAAATATCTAGGAAGCTATTTCTTTTGACTTCTCCAACTTATTGATATACAAGGTTTATGAAGTATTTGTTAATAATCTTTTATTTTGGTAGGGTCTATTTATGATTTCATTTTTTTCATTTCTAATTGCATGGATTTGGGTCTTTTCTCTCCATTTTTGGTTAGATTTGGTTTGTCTATTTTGTTTATTCTTTCAAAGAACCAACTCTTCAATTCATTTGCTTCTTTGTATTATTTTTTAGTATCAATTTCATTAATTTCTTCCTTGATTTTTATAATTGGCATCATTGTGTTAGTTTTGGATTTAGATTGTTCATGTTTTTCTAGGACCTTCAGATATATCATTAGGTTATTTATTTGGGCTTATACTGTTCTTTTAATGTGGGCATTCACATCTATAAAAAAGTGATATAGAGGAACCCTACTGATACCTAAAAGGAAACTAATAATATTAGAAAACAGTCACAGAAAAGAATGAATTCAAAAAAGGAGAGAAAAGAAAGATGGCAAAATATAGGATATAAAAGATTGATAAGAAGGCAGGGAAAAAAGTTGAAAGGAGAAAAGAAATGGAATAAACAAAAAAATAAAAGTCAAACAAAAAGGGATAAAAAACATAACCCCCCCCAAAAAAGCCCCAGTTAAGCAGAGAAAATAATAAACTATAAAAATCAAAGTATCTTGAGTCTAAGAAAAAATTCCTCTGTTTTTGAATGAGTGGTCTTTCCAGGATCTGCAGTCTTGGGTTCCATCCAGTCACAATATCCTCTTAGCTCTAGGGCCCTATGGGTTTTTTTGGTAACGGCAATCAAACTTGAGACCTTGCACTTGGGAGACAGGCAGCAGAGCCACTCAGCTAAATCCCTGGCCCACCCTATGGGTGCCTATTTGACTTATATACCTTCTTATTGAAAGTAGAACATTGACATTCTCCAGCTCTTATTGTTGAATTATTTATTTCTCCCTTCAGTTAATTGTTTTAGTTCTCTTTTATATTTTAAGTGTATATGTGTTTATAACTGTTTTATGTTCTTGATTCAGTGACCTTATTAGCATTATAAAATGTCCCTCTTTGACTCTAGTAGCGATATTTGTTTAAAAGTCTATTTTGTATGATACTATATTAGACTATTTACTCCAGTTTTCTTGCAGTTTCTTTTTGTGTTATACTTTTCTGTTTACTTTCAGTTGATCTGTTTCCTTGAATGTAGTGTCTGTCTCCTGTGTGAACTATGTCATGGGAACTTGTTTTTAAATCCAATTAGACAATATTTGCCTTTTGATGAAATTGTTTAATTCATTCACCTTTTATGTTAATATTATTTTATTCAAGATTCTTGATTTTTTTAATTGGATCCCACACACTGAAATTTGCCTCATTGAATGCTGGATATTTTTATATTCTTGTATTTTTAGAAATTTGTCCTAAAGTATCTTTAAATTACTTGGAAGTAGTTTGATCCGTTGAGTCTTGTTATTAAGATTTGTTACACAAAATTGGAACTGTGAAGGACTATTTTCTACTGTTGAGGCAAGACTGTTATGTACCCTGAGTTTTTTCTACTCTTGTTAAGGACATTACTTCCTTCTCTGAAGGAGTATCCCGGTATCATTGCCTCTAATCCTTTCAAGTGGTTCTTTTTTTTAACCTTGCTCAATTTCCTCACATATATACATGGATCACTACTCTGCTCGACACTTGAGGATCTTCTGAAGAGCTACAGAGTTCTTTTTTATTTCTTTCTTCTTTAGTGCTTTCACCTGCAGACGCTAGCCTCCTTTGTCCCTAGGCTTTTAGCTCTATCTCTTCGCCTTTGTGAGTCCACCTTTCCCTACACTGTGACCTGGAAACTCTCAGGGCAGTAACCAAAGACAGTTTTCAGCTTACCACATTAAATTCCTGCCACACAGGGATTACTGTACTTTGTTGCCTCATATTTTACGTCTTGCAAACCATTGTTTCATATATTTTGTCAGATTTTGATTGTGTTAGACTAAATTTGGTCCCTGTTATTTGATCATGGCCAGAAACAGTTCACTTCTTTTAGCAACTTTTATCTTAATTTTTGTTCTTGTTTTTCACTGTAGGAGACTACCCACAAGGCCAGTATTTTAATGAGTGGTAAAATTAAGGTAGAAAATGGTCAGATTTATCAAAACCCAGTCACCTGGCTCAAGGATCTTCTGGGAGGTGACAGTTACGTGACCTGGAATTATGCTTGGAGTAAGGTGGGTCATTCTTAAATTTGTCTTTAATTTCATATTCAAGTGGAAAGATGCATATTTTTGATGATGAAATATTTTTTCTAAAAGAAATGTGAAAGATCTCTAAGATAGTTTTGTGCTTATGTCTCTGCTATGATATGCTATGTGCTTTTACCCACAAATGTACTTGCCGCCATTTCTATGAGCATGGCTGAGCAACTGTGACTGCACCTCCTCTTCCTTGGTCTTTATCTCAGCTCAGAAACTTTATTTCCCCTAGTTTTCCTTTTTTCTCTCAGTGGATTTCAGGTCTTTGTGACTCCGTATACAAAATTTGGGACTACTGATGCATTAATAATGTAGTTAATACATGTTACTATTATTCTAATAAAAATCTTCCCCTAAATACAAAAGGAACAGGTAAGAAGCCTGAGACAGAAATTACACTGAACTTTCATTTCTGCACATAGCAATATCCACAGATTACTAAAGGAAATATTTTTCTCAAAAAGAAATGTTTTCATTCAGGCCCCCTCATTTCTGGCTTCTGAGTTACAAGCCCTGTCAGTGCTGACTGACACCCTGTGATCCAGTGTTCATCCACATCTGTATGCCCATGGCAACACTCAGGAGCAGTCTTACAGTGATCACTCAGAAAAGTATGTACTATTAGTCCTCCATTACTGCTTCAAATAATAAAAGATACCATTAATCTCCACTAGCCATTGCAGTAAGCCTCAGGGCACCAATGTTAGACACAGTTTGTTTTCTTTTTTTGTCCAACCTAGCTTTGCCCCCTGCCATCCTCAGCCCGAGTCTGCCCCAACTTTGTGTACTGATCTCCTAGACCAGTGGTGACAAACCTACGAGACGTGTGCCACAGCCACACTTTGTTATTAAAAGCTCTAAAAGGTTTACCGTCACTGCCCTAGACCTTTATGGTAGTTGCTGGCAGTAGTGTTTCAATTCCTTCTGTTATATCAGCATATTCTGAATTTTGACTCTTGTATAGTTTTTTTTTTACCCCCTAAAGTTTTTCCCCGTCTCTAGAATCCCAGGTCATCTGCTTTCAGTTCACCCTAGCCCCTTTGCTCAATCCTTATCATGTATTCATAATTCATAATGAATGTTAATCATTAACATTTGCTGGTGAAAAACTTTTCACTATTAAGAGTTTTTTAAATTATGATAGATTATACTGTTTTGCTGACACTGAATATCTTTGCTCACAGCAAAGTTTTGTTACTGATTGCTGTGGCTTAGGTTCTTTTGACCTTGGCATCGCCATGGTGCAATGTGCCCAATAACAACTCAGTTCTTCCACTCTTTGGGCATGTTCTGGTTCTGCATTTCCTGGCTTTGAATAGCTGCTATAACATCATTAGCATACATACTACCTCATTTACATATCACATTGCTTAGTGTTTTCTCATCAGCGAAGCCAATTACAGACCTACTGTTTAGCACCGCTATGGTAGTGAAGCCAAATCCAAATATATACACTAAAATACAGGAAAATTCTTGGATATAAGATATTTCTATAGATTTTTGAGCAGGCTTAGATGATTTTTTTAAAGATTATCCCCCCAGAAATGAAAGCAGAGCTTTAAAAACTTCTATGAGACACTTATTTACTTTTATTGAATACCTCAGCCTTGAAAACAACCCCAGTAAGTTTCTTACAATTATTTAAAATTTCTTCCAAAGTCTTCTCTTTTAAAGTTTACCCCCAAAACTTCTGCCTCCTCTTGTCTCAAAGGACATTCATAGTTATTTCTTGATGAAAGGAGCTTTTGGCTGCACCAGTAAATGAACACATTTACTGATTAGTTCTGAGAATTATAGTGAGGGTGTAGGGTCAAGGATGATTAGTTGTCAGGCATGAAATGCCAGAAAACTAGGTCTTGCTCTACATCAGACAAAACAGTACATCAGACAGAGCACTACATCAGATGAAGCAGCACAATCCCTAGTCACAGATGTGACTCATCCTTCCCACCCAAGTAGCTGGGTAGCTGTGCAGCTTCACCAAGGGAATCTTGGAGCTTACTCTCAGCAGGAATCCCTGACTTCTCCTACTGCCACTGTCTACTAGCTATGAGGCATCATTCCAATATGGCAGTGTAACCTCTGGATGGAAGGCCAGACTACTTCCTGTTTTCACTGTTTTAAAGTTATATGATCTAGGCAACAGTTTTTAATCATGGATATACATTAGAATCACTTGGGAGGATTTCAAAAACCACCCATGCCTAGTGGACCCCAGATCCAGAGCCTGTGATAGTCTGGGCCAGGGACCAAGTCGCAGTAGTTAAAAAGCTTGCCAAGCAATTCTAAGCATCACCTTAGAATGAGAGTCATTGACTTAGATCAAGTCATTCATCCGTTCTGAACCTCAGTTTTCCTATACAGTATATGAAATAAAGAGTGCTAGATGATCTCTAAAGAGGCTTCCATCTTGAAGATTATAGGACTTGCATCTCCGTTGTGTGGTATATAAAGCACTTTTACACAGTATCTTTGTGGATCAAGAAGATTCAATTATTATCCCTGTTTATGGATTTGAAAATAGTAGGAGATTAAGTGAAATGATTAGCCACAAGGCCAATAAATGCCAGAGCCAGAACTAGAACCTGGTCTTCTAATTCTCTGCATTCTATTTTCTGCACTTAGAACAATGTCACACAGTAGGCCCACATTCCTTTCACTGAAAGTGGGGATTACTGTGAACTTGAATACCCAGTGTCATCTGGCCAGCTTCATGAAGGTATGCAAATCCTCAATCACAAGCCACAAAAATGGCCCACTTCTGAAAAAAAAATGCCTTTGTAGCCTATGGCCATACCACCCTGAACATGTCTGAAAGAGTTCATCTAATTTCAGAAGCTAAGCAAGATTAAGCCCTAAGCCCTATTAGTACAGGAAGAAAAATTCCTTTATATGATAAAACTGTCATATGAAAATCATAAGAATCCTAACCCTCCCAATGACAGTTGATTTGGGAATGCCCAGGAGTAAACTGATGCAGATGAAAGTAGACTGTCATTTTAGGTAGTGACTCAAGGAACACTAAACCTCTTGTATAAACATATATCCCATCCAGAAGCCTCACTAAATTTCCACCCTAACACATTCGTTCCTTTGGATTTAGTGATGAGTTTTCTCTGTGGTTCCCCCCATGACCACTTTTACAAAGAAATTCCTCCAACAGCCATGATTAGGAATATCAAGGTATAGAAAAGTTAAAGCAGGACTATAGAAAGTGATGAAAATTGTTCATCTGGACAGATGGCCTCATTTACTCACTTACTCTCAAAGTGTCTAATGCTCAGCCATGTTACAGAACAGTCAGAGGAGATGGCTACAGATGTGAACTTCTAAAATGCAGAGAGCCAGGAGTTGTGAATCCTGACTCATGAACAGTGTGCAAAGTCTCTTCATGCATTGTTGGGAAATGGGAAGAGTTTGCAACTGGGATGTTAGGAGATGAATACTATAAAGATAAACTTCACCTGTTTCATCATTTCCCTAGAAGTAGTTATTCCAAGGCAGTAATTGTACTTTGAAATAACTTTGTCTTGTATTTTCAGTTCCTAAAGAAATCATTTATTTGAGAAGCAGTTATTTTCTTAACCAAAACATCTTTCATTTCACAATGAACCTAAAAAGAAACCTAGTTTCCTCTTATTTCTTTGTCATTTTTTCCCACCAGAAAATTTTTTAAAAAGTTATACTTTCTTCTTTTGGGATAGTGAAAATTTATGACTTGCTTCTTAAAAGTTGTAGTGCAATTAAAACAGTCCATTTGATCATCCGTGAACAGATTCTTATTAGTCAGTACTAACAAATATTTTTCTGAAGACATGAAAAATGGGCTGATATTTTCAAATAAAATGAACTCTGAATAGGGATACTATTTGATATTCAAAGGTACATTATGTTTTATATTTTTTCTTGGTGCATATTATTATGTAACATGTTGAGAAACATTTGTTATGACAATTACTTATGATTGTTAATATTGGGCTTTGTTTCTTTAAAAGTTTTTTTTTTCAGTTTTCTTTTTTGGCACCGGGGATCAAACTCAGGTCCATGCGCTTGCGCAGCAGGTGGTGAAACCACTGAGCTAAATCCCCAGCCCCTTATTATTATTATCATTTTTTTTTTTTTTGGTACCAGGGATTGAACTCAGGACCTTGCACTTGCAAGGCAGGCGCGGTGCCACTGAGCTAAATCCCTGGCCCCTTTTCAGTTTTTTGAGACAAGATCTCACTATTAGTTCAGGCTGGCATTGAACTCACTATGTAGCCCAGGCTGGCCTGAAACTCACAGCGATCCTCCTGCCTCAGCCTCCCCAGTGCTGAGACTACAGGTGTACACCACCACACCCAGCTGTTTCTTCAAATCTTACTAAAATAAAGTTAATTGATTTAATCTCATTTGTTTCACTAAATAAGGTCCAGAAGACCAGCTGGCTGAATCATCCACCTCACACATATGTGTGCACATGCACACACAGTGCACTCACTCTGCTTCTTCCTCATTGTGCTATTAGGGAGTCTGATGTCTGAAGATTAATGGTCTTTTTGGTATAAGAATCTCAGGGAAAGCATCAGTGGCCATAGAACAAAGCACCCCTGCAGCTCTGGCTTTTAGAAAAACCAGAGCACAACAATCTACAGATATCATCATAAAAGGCAGCTTGCACTAAGTTCCATCTCCTTCACTTATTTTTATTTGGGAAGATGCCATCCCATCAGCCATCCCTCACCACCATAGGTTTTGGATGGAAAAGTTGCTGAGAGCACTGTAGGCCATGAAGTTGAAGTACCTAACAAACTAGCCTCCAGCTCTGCCTGCCATGCCTCTGTCAGAGAAGGCATGTGAGTGAAATTTGGATCCGGTGAGATTTTAAGAATCAAGATTTGAGTCATAAGCAAATGTGATAACTATTGGCTCTTACGCTTCAGCCAACTAGAACACAGACACTAATATGAAATGCAGTTTCCAGTTGACCTAGTGCC